ATTCTTACACAGTTTTCCCAAATAATTAAAAAGGCATATCCATGACAGAACTTGGATTTAATATTCCTTCTTTCTCCTCATATGCCTTTGATTAATTCTTGAATTACAAATTCTCATAAATTCTGGCATTTTTAGGCTGGTAGACAAATAAGTAGGGAGGCCAGAGGAATTACTTATATGAAGAATAAATAAAAATCCAGAATCACAGCTTCCTATAGGTCGAATTTAGCCAGCTCCACCTCAGCCTTATTGAATTCCCCCTTAGCAGCCTGTTAGCTCTAACCTCAGCCTCTCTGCACGGCTGTGGCAAATCCTATAACTCTTGCCCTACCTTCTGGCAAGAAAGTACATTGGGTTGTCTTACTTTTCATTTTTTATCTTTTGGAAATTCTTATTTTTAATTACACAGAGTACATAGACACATTCTTGGTACAAAATCCAAACTTTACAGATCAAGCTAAAGCCCCTCTTCACTACTACCCACGGTCCAAGTCCTCTGTGCATGCTTGCAGTCTTCCAGATGTTTTTCTACGTCTGGATTATACAGATTCAAGTCTACTGGATTATACAGGTACAAGTGTGAAGCTCAGCCTCTACTCTGGGTTGCAAGGGAAATCATTAATGTTTAGAATACACATTCTAGTACATGAAGAAAATCACTCCCAGTCCATCAGCCCCTTCCCCTCTTCTCCACCAGGGCTGCATCTAAATTTGGTGGTAGTTAGGGAAGCATCTGGTCCTCCAAGTCTTCTGCCCCAGAGGCATCTGCAGAGAAAACCCTTGTTCCCGTCTGCCTGGCTCCTTAGAATCAGTCTGCCTTTACCACATCAAGACTAGAAGAGTAGGCTCAGTCTACCCTCGGTGCCTGTTACAGCAAGAAATCCTGTAATCCATCCAAGTTCTCTTCCCCCCAAACTCCCTCTGGCCTTTCACCTCCTGGGCTCTGCCTGGGGGTGATAGTTTCCCCCAAAGGAATCTCTACTCTCATCACTCCCCCATTTGCCCTTTTCCCCTCATTTCAAGGCGAGTTTTTGTCGCTGTTTTGTTTTTCAGGTTTTGGGATCGAGTGGAGGGAGAAGACTCAGAATTCTCTCTGTTCCCCTAAGAGAATTTATACTTTTGAAAAACAGTCAGGAAGAGACATGTATGTGACATTTCTACCTTCTGCCCAAATGTATATTTCTGCTGAGGTAATGAGCCTAGGATTGCTAAGCTTAAAATAGGTAAGAATGAGGAGAAAGTGGAATTATTAGAAGGATATTGAAAAAAAATTCATTTTGTACTTACTCTACATAAACTATATCATCCTATATGTATTGTTCTGTTACTTGCTTTTTCTTCTTAGTCAATATGCCTTGAAGATCTCGCATGTTACTATATACAGCCCCACATTATTCAGTCAATAACCATTGGCTGAGCCCCTCTGTGTGCCAGGCAGTGTGAGACTGGGGCTGCGTATATGGCACTGGAAAAACAGAACAAGTCTCTATTCCCGTCAATCTTACATGCTAGAGAGGGAGAAAGATAACAGTCAAATGTGTGTGTGCATAAGTAATACGACATGAAGTGAAAGGTAAAAAGGAAAAGAAAGTGGGATAAAAGGATAGAGACAGGGATGGTATTTTAGATAGTCAGAGAGGGCCTCTCTGTGGAGACAAGTTTATTCTTTTTAGCTGCTACATAGCATTACATTCCCCTAAAGAAGCATAGTGAGGTTTTTTTCCCAATTTTGCTATTACAAACCATGTTGCAATATTTATCTACTGTGCACATGGATAGTAGTACTTTGAGTAGATACTGAAAAGAGGAATTACTGGGTCATACTTGCGAACTGTGCTCTGAAAGGCTGTGCTGATTTATACTCCCATCAGAAACTGCTTGTTCCCCATACCTCTCTTAGTTGATACTATCAACATTACTGATTTTACCAATCTGATGTGTGAAAAAAACGGTATCTTGGATTTTTTAGTAATTGGCATTTCCCTGATCATTACTTAGGTTGAATATCGTTTCATACGTTTTTTAGACACTTCTATTTCCTATCTTGGAAAATGGCTATTCATATCCTTTTACCCATATTTCTGTAGGATTTTGTCTTTTTCTTCTGATTTTTTGGAGCTAATGTATTCAAGGTAATAATATTTTGTCTTACATATGTTGCAAATATTTTCTCCCATTCTTTGTCTTTATCTTTGTCATATAAAGCTTCTTTTATTCATGTAGTCAAATGTATCCTTGTATCCCTTTAATGATCATACCTTTATCAGTCCTTATTATTTTGAGTTTTTGAATTCAAATTCAGCATACATTTATTGAGAACTCATTATGTGTTTGGAAGATATAAAAATAATTGAGACCTGACATCTGCCCTCATGGATTTCACAATTTAGTGTTGGGGACACATGAATACAAACACATATAAAGCCAAGGGTCTTAGTACTACAAAAAGATGTACTACAGTGGAGCAAGGCCAAGCCCAGAACGAGACACCTGGAAAGGTTTCCTAGATGCAGCAGCATTGGAGAGAGGGCAGCCTTTCAAAAAGCAGGGATGGAAGTAAATGTCTTCATCATAGGAGGAACATCACAAGCCAGGCAGAAAATGCAGCCAGGAAGGGCTGGAGAGAAATTTATGGTAAAGCTGGAGAGTGGGTAAGTGGGTAGGAAAGAGGAATAAATACAGTGGAAGACCAGATTGAAGAGGTAGGGTGGAACTATTCTAATCTTTCATCTGTAGATAAGAAATACAGTGACAAATTCAACACTTTCTGCTCTCCTTGAAGAGCAGTCATTAACGAAAAGAACATATCAACCAGGAGAAGTCAGGTAAAGATTTGGGGTGATTGGATGAACAGAGATAGCCTCTCCCCCAGCTTGATGACAGCCTGAAGATGGATTATTCCACAGACCTCCAGTGTGTGCTTGTGCACTGGCAGTGTGTCTCCTGGTTTCCGCTGGCCAGAACCCTTACCCAAGATCAGCTGCAATTTGTGAGTCTTAAGTCTGTTTTACCATCCTGCAGAGGTAAGAGTTGGATAGTTTATGTACTATGACTTCACAGTCCTGTGGGGAGGCTGCCAAGGAAAGCATGTTTTGGATAGAAATCTGAAAAAAAGTAAGAAGAAAAAAATAAAAATCTTAAATACCCGAGCTAGTTTGGCATAGGGATAAGGTTTCACATCCAGCTCCTCCCTAGGCTCTGCCATTTAATCTTCCTCCAGGATGCAGGGGCTGCCATGGGTTACCATGGATAGCGATTAGGCCTCCTTGGGCTGCATCAGCAAACACCCTCCTTTGATAGGCAGTTGGAAAGTAATGGAATTTGGGTTTTAGTTGTAAGGGAATGGTGGAAAATGTTACAAACAGCCGACCTCCTTCACCCTCACTGAAATGGCTGCCTTCCTCTGCACATTTTATATTGCTTTGGGGAGAATGACAAAAGACAGATGCTTCTTGCTGGAATGCTAGTTGTTTAATCATCCCTTCTAATCCCAAGACATTTACTGTAGTTTCTTGGAGCTGACCTCTTGGGCCACTCTTTGGTTTTCAATGTCTTGCAAATGGTGTTGCATTGTGATTTTCCATTACATGGAATATGGGAAAGTCTATGGGAGAGTTTTTTCAAAGGTGTTAAGTCGCAGATGGTGTCCTCAGGCCAAAAGCCTTAAATTGGGAGAGCATAAATTGTAAATAAACTGTACGCTCTTGTGGTCAGACACAAAATACGTAACCTAGTTTGGCTCCCATCTCCCACAGAGCATCACTCAGTCTACAGAAGTGTTTTCATCCATTCCAAGGGTTGGCAGCAAGGTACAAAATTCGTCTTTCTGATAGCATGACCTCTCCACACAGCTCCCACAAAGGAGGAGACCTGCTTCCTCTCCAGGTTCCGTGGCCCCGTGGAACCTCAGGAAGCTGCACAGCAGACAAGACGCCCTACAGAAATATAGTGAAACTCTTGTGTGAGAAACCACCCTGCTTGATAGGGCTCTTGCTCTGTCTTCACAAAGATTACGTAAGAGAAACTGAAAAGATGTGATGTACTCAAGCATTTTCATCATGTTAAGGAACAAGAGTAAATGATTAATCTCATAATCATACGTAATTTTTTTTGCCCAGGAGGATCACATTCTTATTAACAGGCAAGTCATAACAGCATTTTGGAAAGCAATTCATTTTTCTTCCCCTAAGAATCTTATCATTTGGTGAAACTTCACAATGCTTGTGTTAGTGTACTTTATTTAAATTTTTTTTTCTGATTTTGAGCTTGTGTATGTTTTTTCTCTCCCTCTTGTTAAATTTGCAAATTCTTTTGGTTAGTGCCATGGCATCCTTCTACCCATGCAGAGATAATCATTTCTTTCCTCTCTGCTGATTACCATACCTCTGAGAAGCTCTCTCCTCGATGTATGGGAACTTTAAAGTAGAGAAGACATAACTGCAAATGGGAATCTATGTTTGTGGCATCCGTGTGTGGGGTCTCTGTGTCCTAGGTAGGAGAGAAGTTTTAGGGAAGAATACCTTGTCAAATTTTTTCAATATACTCATATGTGCATAAGGGGCATTTGAAAACACATGGAATGAATAACAAGACTTTGTGTTTCTAGAGCACCTTTCCCAAGGACATTTATATATAGAGAGAGAGATTATCCTCAAAACCCTCTCTTCAGCTGGGTTAAGAGCAAGAATTATTTTCCCATTTCATGAGGGGAAACCAGAACAAGGAGAAGTGCCTCACCTCTACCAGCTTTACCGACCACAGACACCGAGTCCCCCCCTCTCAGAGATGAGTGCCAGCAGCCAGCAGACCCACTGCGGCTCCAGTCTAAGTTCCCCTGGCCTCTCTTTGGTTCTCCACTGTGTATAAACCAATGTTCTTGGCTCCTTATTTGATCTTAAATTCAGTGTTGGGTGAATCAGTCACAAGATTTGGACATTCTGTTCAGAAAACATTATAAATTCATCAAGATTTGCTGGATCTGCAAAACTCTCCTGGCGTTCTTAATAGAATAGCAGTCTTCTGTCCCCAGATGACTTCAGGAAATGTAAGACTTGTGTGAGGGGATGATAGAGACAGTTTCCCAATTGCCGTGAAAGAGACACACCCTGTCATAGCACCCTGCCTTTACCCATGCTATCCTCTCTTCTTAGCGTGCCTTTCTTCCCTGCCCTTGTTCACCTGTAGCATTCCAATGCATCTTTTAAAAGCCAGTTTGACCATTTTCATCTCCTTCATCAAGGCTTTGCATGCATTCTCCAGTTATGTTTTCTTAACAAAGCCCCAATTTCATTCAAGTCTCCACTCCTCTCCCTCCAGGATGTGTGCCTGGTGAAAGGTGCTGACTTGAGCCCAGCTCCATGGAAGACTTAATTAACATAAGTATAATCTCAGTCCATTTGTTAGAGATTGGATAAAGAATTTCTCCGAGTCCTTGGCCAATTAGACAAAAGAAGTGACATGTGGGGGACTCTTGGTCCTCACGAATAAGATGGGGCTTGAGGAAGAGACGGTCAGCCCTCTTCCTCTGACCATACTGTATGGCTTTGGGGTGGCTGCTATCTTCTCACTTCCAGCCTGAGGATGACGCAAATGCTGATGATGGCAGAGCAGAGACAAGGATAAAATCCAGGTCCTTCAAGGCTTTGTAGAGCCATTGAAACAACCAGACTTGAAGTTGGCTCTACTTCTGGATGATTTACATAAGCTAATAAATACCATGATCCATTGTCAGAGCCCTACTTTCTGTTTCTTGCAGCTGAAAGCCTTTTAATTTATCCAATGCTTTTCCTGCACTAAAGCCACACATTCAGTCAGAATTGAGTATTCCTTCCTTGGGTTGCTGTAGAACTGTGTATACACCTCTATTTTAGCATCAACACTGGATTTTAACCATCTGCTTCTATGTCTATCTTCCTCACTGTGATATCTCAAGGATCATATTTTATTTAATACTTAATTCACATTTCAGTCATTTATTTTTAGAGTTTAGTATTATGGCCAATATATACCAAGTAATTAATGAATATTTGATGAATGAATGAATTTACTCAGAATATATCAAAGTGAGTGCCGTAGGCAGCCTCAGGCATAAGCAACTTAAATAATCACTTGAGACCCTAGCCCTTAAGACACTGCTTCCAGGACCTATGGTGTTTTTTCCATCATCTGTCCATCCATTCATCCAACCCACAGAAGTCCCAGGCACCATGCTAAACCCTAGGAATTCAGAAATATGCTGTCCTCTGCTGGCACAGATTCCATTCTGCCCACCTCAATGTAAATTGGGGGCCCTCTGGACCTTTGATACCACTTCAGGTGCACACTCCATCTGAGTACATGTGGGAAGCTGGCAATGGACAGAACTATAGCTCTCAGTGTAGGCATATAGGACAATACAGACAAGAAAATGCTCAGCTTTCTGCCCAGGAAGTGCAAGTGGCCATACATCCAAGAGAGAACAATAATAGAGGTTGCTGCTTCCCATCTGAGCACTGTGGGCCCTGACTCTCACTGGGCCTGGTTGCACACAGTCTTTGGGCAGATCTGCTGCACCATCTTTCTGGCCTCTTGTGGGTGTTTAGTAACAGAGAGAGCTTGCAGGTTCCTAAAAGGAGGAGAAAACTCCAGGTATTTAAGAATTTCTGAGTATCCCTATTTGATTCCCTGTTTCTCTATTGTAGTCCAGAAAATTACAAGTTACAAGCCACAGGGAAGTAGGAAGGTCAACATGAGACTCTAGTTCTAGCCAGGACCTTCAAAGATAATGGAGTTCTTCTCTCTGCTACCAGGACATAGTACATTCAAATGTTCAGATTTCAAGTAATAACTCTATAGGTAGACTTTGAGCTTCTTGTCCTAATCATCCTTGCAATTCCCAACAGTCCTTAAGAGTTCCAGTCTTCTAGAAAAATCTTTTCCTTTAATATCCAAATAAAATAACTCAAGCTTTGCCCAGTGCAATTTTGGAAAGTTCAACACATTCCCTGGCATTTTGAAGATGCCTGATGGAGTGCTTGCCTTCCCCTGCTGGCTTTTTGTCATCTCTTACCCTAAACTTCGAATCCCAGACCAATTCTTGGTCATCCTTGATTTCTAATCACCAATACTGTCAACTGCTGCCCTCTCTGCCCTGTTTCCCCAAGAATGTGGGCAGAACTACCTCTTCCTTTATTTCTAAAACATCATTAGTCACATGAAGGCTACTATATGTAACAGATTTTAACTAAATGTTAAGAGAGAGGCATCCTTAATTCTAAAATTCTTTAGCTATCCCATGATAGAGAATTTATGACCAATCAACTCTCCCTTTGTAGCTAAGGCCTATTTTATTTCTTCTTTTACTTGATTCTTCAAGGGCCCCCAAAAGCCCTCTCTGGAGTCCAGAGAGAACACTCTTTTTTGATTGTGCTGATCATTTTAGTTCCCTTTATTTTGGTATTCTTGATGCATTCTACAACCTGAGCCCTACCTTTCCTGTCTAAAATGTTGGTGTATTTCCCTGCACAGATACATTTTCCCCTTCTGCCTCTTTTCTTGCTTCCAGATTATAGAAAGGACTGAAGTAAGATTTAAACAAGCAATTTTTAAAATCTCTCCATTGCACTTGTATTCTTAAAGTTTAGATGTGCTGCACTTGGGACAGGATGTACTTCGCATGTGGTGACACTCAATAATTTTTAACAATAATAATATCTAATCCTTCCTTGAAGATAGTAATCTCATATTTCATGCGTTGTTTCACTTTTTCATCTTGTGATCCTTTTGAAGACTCCCATGAATTCCCTCTTGAACTCCAACTCTCACTCCAAACAAACAAACTGTAAAGTCTACTCTGTGAGTATTCTCATTAGCAAGCGAAGTGAGTCCACACTCCAGCTGGCTTCCTAGCAACACCCAATGGTCACTTAACTCTGAGAGTCTTAGTTTCCTCTTTTGTAGAATGAGGAAGTTGGCCTACTTTATCTGTGGCTTCCTTCTAGCTTTAGAATACCATGTATGCCTCTAGAAGATGATGGGGGAGGTGATACGGGGTTGGACCCAGGAAGTGGAGAAAGCCAGCTAATTTTATTTGTAGTTTCAACCATCTGCTGCCATTAACACTAACAAGCAGCTATTTCCTTTTTAGTGATGGAGTGATCTTAACTCTCCAGTTTAAGCAAAAAGTGACTACTAATCTTGATTTAATCACTAAGAGATCGTCACATTTCCCCTTTCCTTGAAATGAGATTACTAATATCGACCCCTATCTCACTTGATAAACAAAATGTTTATATTAAAATGAAGTGTCAAGGGTAGTACAATTCAAGTTTGGAAACTGAAAATTTATTTTTCTCCTTAACTTTAACTTAAGCCATTTTCCCTTCCTTCTGTAATTGTTCCAAAACTACCCAAGAAGACCTAAATAATTAGTAAATGGAGGGAGATTTATATGGAAAATTAAAGAAAAAAAATGCAGAATGATTGTCTGAGGTTAGTAGATTTTAGCTTGCTTCAAAATGTTAAAAGAATTAAGTTGAAGCACCATCTAGTGGCTCTCAACTTTGTTTTGCTAAAAGTTGCTCCTAATTTCCTTCAATTTAGGAACATGATTAATTTGTTGTGCATGTATATCTGTATGCATATATGTGTTCAGAAAAGAAAAAAAATGTTTTTTATCTTTTTGCAGGGGTAGAAGGCTGGGAGGAAGTAGCTGTACTTCTTCACTCTGCCAATCTATCACCCAGACAATCATGGTGGTGAGAACGGAACAGAGAGGAAGCATGAACTCAGATGAATCTCTTCCAGGAGTCCTGTACGTGGAAAAAGGATTAACACAGTAAAGTCCCATAGATTTCAGTTCCTCTGCTCCTCTTCCTCACGTCCTCTCTAAGAGCCCACAACAGTGTCTTTTTCTTCCCACTCTTCTATTGCAGACATGTCCTCACATGTCCAGGGACTGGCTGACTATTAGGTGATCTTTGCACACCCCCAGATTCTCAAACCGTTTCATATTGCAAGCCCACAGCATCCCTTGAGTTTACACAACCAGCAATTCTTCTGGAACAGTCATAGAGGTGGCTCTCATACCTATGATTCTTATCTTCTGAAGTTACATCTCTTTCATTATCTCTAAGGGAAGAATGAAAATGAACATGAATACACCATAACCCGTGTTGCAAGTCTGACAGCAAACCTTGAGATTGGCAAACTAGGTATTTGAATCAATCAAGATTAAGTTCAACTGCATATGAAGTTAAACCCAAAAGAGTGAACAAAATAGTTTATTCTCTCACACAAAAGAATTTTATAAGTAAGTAATCTAGGGTTTGTAAGGCAACTCCATGGTCATCAGGACCCATCTTTCTTTTCCACCATCTTAGTGAATGTCTTCCATCCTCAAAGCCACCTATGGCTCACTTTGGCAGCTGGATTTCCAGTCATCACATCAATGTTGCAGTCCAGGAGATAAGGAGGAAAAGCAAAAGAAGACCTCTCCTTTCTCTTTAAAGGGCTTTCCTAAAAATATCACGTAATATTTATGCTTACATCTCATTGACAAAACCTTTGTGGGTGGTCATATTCAGCTGCAAAGGAAACTGAGAAATGACTTTTAGCTTAGTATGTCCCTCTACTTAATAAAATTGGAGCTATGTTATTAAGCAATATATTGGAAAACTAATACCACAACATTACTGTGTAACAATTACAAAACCTCTGTGGCAACAATTGCTGAAATGTCAGGGATCATCTGAGGGTTAGGTAGGCAGCTCTTCTGGTCTTGACTGAGCTTCCTCACATGTCTAGGAGATAGCTGACTATTGGATTGTCTAGGCTGGCCTCAACAGTGATGTGGGGGTTGAGACTGGGGTGACTCAGCTCTGCTCTTCGTGTTTCTCATCCTCCCACAAACTAACCCAGGCATGTTCTCATGGAGTAACAATAGAAATATGCAGGACCTCTTGAGACCTAGGCTCAAAACTGGTACACTGTCACTTCTGCCTCATTTGATTGGCTAAAGCAAATTACAGGGGGTGAAGAAATATGCACTCGCTTTATAGAAAGAACTCTAAAGTCTCTGATGAGTTACACGGATAAAGGA